CTTTCCATTTCTAAAATCGCCTTCACTCATACTCGACTGGACGTTATCATTCCCCAATTTGGAGTACTCATTAAGATACCTCGACTCGTTGAAATCTTTCCTCGCGTTAGGAAAAAATGGTGTCGCAGGATTCGATTGTGGGAGGCCGTCTACGAGGCCATCTATTATATTCCTTGCCATTTCCAACGTTTTGATCGCTTCGCGAACAGCTTCGTACAGATCACCCTTGACGTTGGGAGGGAAATTCGAGAAATAAGCCACATTGTGGAACATCTCAGCTACTAAATTCGTTGTGGTGGTGTGAGCTTCGGCGTCATCGAGATCGGCTATAATCTGATTCACGGTATTCCTGATGTCCTGCTGGAACGATTCGTCATCGGTTTCCTTCAATTCGCGTACAATCGAAGTCGGTAATTCGAGTATATCGGACCCTTGATTGGAATTCTCAACATCATCGCCGGATTCACCTTCGGCCGAACTATCAGCGTTACTAGCTTGATTGAGGTTCAGACTGTCTGCAGAACTGTTGGATTTTTTACCACTTGCGAGGTCAAGCCAAATAAATTCCGAGACTTCGTCGTGTTCGCTTGGGTCGCCCTCACCCTGAAGATCTTCACACTCGAAAGATGTGTCTTTGCTGGAATGATGATCCACATCGGCTGATGGAGTCAGACTATAAATCCAACTCATGCTGGCGGAATCGAGATTGTACTTGAAGGAGATATCGGTATCCGGCAAAACGTCCAAGCACGTCCTGGATGACGTTAAATTTACGTTAATACTGTTTAACATTTCCGATATGCTGCCTTCGTCGTTGGAGGTGTCGTCGATATTGTCGACAGAGGTGGCAAGCCATTGTGTGACTTGATCATTGAGGCCTCCGTTGCTTTGACTCTCTTTATCGTCATCCGTTGTCCCCAATTTACCGTCTACGTTATTACCCGCGTATACTTGCGTTATTTCTTCAGTCGATTCCACATTTTGCGAGTAGTCTGATATTTCTCCCGTTTTATCTAAGTTCTGGGCATCGGTCCCAACGGAACTCCCAACAATGTTGCATTCGGGACTCTCCTCGTTCAAGACATCTTTCTCGGAACACGTATCTTTTTTAAGCTCCCCAGACATTTCATGGGTAGTAACTTCAACCCGATTATTTCCGATATGTTCCGTAAAATTCTCTAAATTTACTCCCAGTGATAAGTTCAGTTCGTTGTTGTGACTTTCCGAGCACTTGTTTATTCCGCTATTGGTTTCTTCATCACTGGCGTTACCTTCGATAGACTTTTTACTATCGGGATGAGAATCCACGTACAGATTACTCGCAGCCTCATTTAAGGTGCTGATTACGTTGTCAAGTTTACTTTTATAAACTCCAGGCGGAGATAAATTTTGGACATCATCCTGTGTCAAAGAGTTGCCATTTAAATCCGAGATATTTCCGTTTACGTCTTCAGATTCTGTCTCGCGAAGTTCATTCGATCCTCTCTGATTCACGTACGTTTTTTTTAAAGGACCCACCTTCTGAAGACTGTCGCCATCTTTAAGACGCGTTTTTACTTTACACGCGCCTTTGAAAGTGCCTTCTCTCGGGCTTTGAGGAATACAATTATAATTCAAACTCAAGTTCCTAGCACACCCAATCCTGTCATCTACGTGGAGACTTCTGTTATTTAAATCGTTCTTCCAGGACATTCGAGTACTCTCGTCACCCGAGAATTCTTCATCAACTCCCGCAAAGTTAGTCTCTACGATGTACGGTTCCCGAATAGGTCTCTTGCTCTTTCTTTCCAGGAAAGAGATACTTTTATTCCGTAAATCTTGATTAACCTGCGCCGGTTTCAAATCAATTTCCATTTCGTTTTCTTCGGCAGTGCTTATTTCCTGTTGACGACAGATTGAACAGTCAATGATGAACTTATCAGTCGATTTGCTTTCTAGAGGCGAACTGTGTCTGGCACTTTCAAAAATGGTTACTGCAGCCTTCACACCTTCCGACGAGACATGCACCTTATCGGCGACTTGCCTTCTCGGTAGCTGACCAACCACATAATGGACCTTAACTTCCCCTTTATCGCACTCGGTGCAAGTTACAATTCTGCTGGAACTCCTGTTCCTCACCTCACGGTATACACACATCAAATCATCAACAATTTTCGAGTTTCTCTGCCCTGCATGCAGAGTATCATCGCATTCACTCGTCATCGACGATCGAGAGCTCCTCTTACTAATTTCGAAGCTAGATTCCTTACACCCGACACAGATATCTCTAGTTTCAACATCCCTACAGCAATTCCTGCACTGACTCGCAGCGTCTCTCTTCGAATTCAAGAAATCATTCGAACGGGATATCGCATCAACATTTCCTGCGGTACAAACTTTGGCAAGTTCCTTACCCTCCACCTCAGCAGAACGATCAAGGAAATCAGCTCGTTTGGCGATCGTTCTCTTGGTAAATACAGATATTGGTTGCGGTACCGTGTTAGCTTCTACGATGGCAGCGCCATTAGCGTTTGTTGCGACTTTGGAACTAAATCGGTCCCCGACCGCAACGCCCCTCTTGGCCAGGGCGGCCATCTTAGAAACTAACAAGGAACTGGCCTCGCTAAGCGGTCGAGTCTCTTTCTCGGAAGGATTGTTGAACATATTGTAAAATTGGGCCCGAGGGGGCCGAAAAGTCGCAAATTCGTCGTAATCGCCTAAGAATGCACGTCTTAGGCGGTGCGTAATGGAAGATTTGGGTCTGGGTGGCACAGGGGGTGCAGCATCGTCGCCATGCTTCGCGCGTGCATTTTCCGGGAGCGTTTTTTCGTGCACGCGTGCAGCGGGTATTTCGGTCAGTAAAGGTTTCATGCGTTCTGCGATAGTGGTGCTTCTAGCGACCTCTAAGTGTAGACGATCGTAGTGCTCGGCCTGCCAACTGTAGTAGCTTCTGTCGTCGTTCTCGCTGCTACTGCCGCTCGACTGACAATCTGCAACCACATTTGTCCAGACACACCTCAAACACGCGACACGATTAAGCCATTTTGCAGTCTCGATTTGCATCGCCTTTAGCGTGGCTCGTTCCAGTCACGAGACAGCTCGCACCCACTTCACTATTCCTATGCAAACGCGATGACCGCTCGTTACACGCTTTAAACGATGGAAACGAGATTTCGTCGACGCGCTTTCGTTGGATCACTAAAATTCAGTTCCGGTAGACGATAACTTTTACTTACCGATAATTATCGACATACGTGCTCGCAATTATGAAAGTAGTCTATGTCAGAAACCTAAGAAAAAATTAATTTCATCCCATATTTTGGGTTATATCCGTTTAACCCTTTAACTACACGGAGTCGGCCGTGGGTCTGAACCGTTTGTACGGATAGCTCGACCGCGGAGTACTAATACTTTTTCATTCTTTCTCCACCGGAAGTCCGACTTTCAGGGCCTATTAAGCGTGGCCAAAGTTGCCTATTAGGTGCAATGTCAGGAAACTCCGTAGAGTTTCGCGCCAAGTACATTTAAAAGCATGCGCGAACGGCACCGAGTACTTAACGCCAAAATTGGATAAATATTTTTTTCTCAATTAAGAGAACTTATCATGGACTCATGTTTGGCATAATGAAGGTACGTTTCGTTTTGTAGAGCCTGTATTTTTTTCAAATTTTCTTTTCTCACTCTACCTCCTGAGGGAAGAGAGTCGTCCCTTCCGTTGTTGAGGTTAGTGGGTGGGGCATTTTTATTAACAAATGCCTTGTACAATTAAATGGTTTATAGTTATTTATGATGAATTTTTAAAAAGAAATGTTCATTTTTCGGTTTTACCATGATACCGGCAGGGCGCGCCAGCACTCGACAGGCTTTAAAAGTCGAACTTCCGGTTTGCAGGGAGGATAAAAAATAGTATACGTATCTCGGGAGTTGAGTAGGCGATTACGGACGAGGGTCTTTACCGTCACGAAAGAAGCGAGGGCGGCAACAGAGTGTTACTCCCTCGTTACGTAATGTACTATATATTCGAGTACGAGTACTTTCTTCCCTCGTTACGTAATGTACTATATATGAATACAATATTAATTTATCGCTTTGAATGCATGGTCAGGCGGGAGCTACTTTAGTGGCGCTTCGTAACTAAAGGGTTAAATAACAGTAATGTGAAGCTAGTTCAATATCATTAGAACAAAATTGGCCCACTTTCATAATTTCATTAATTATATTAAAATGACGATAATTTAAATAATAAAATTTCAATAACTCTAAAGTCATATATGACTCCTAATTAACGTGTTACAATAATCAATTAAATATTTCTGTAGCATATGAACGTAAATCAAACAGTTCATTTATTTGATTTAACCAATTAATCATTAATAACTTCTGGCTCAGACGTTAATTTCGAATGATTCAAGTTATATATTATTTACAATATTGTCATTTTTATATAATTAATTTAATAATGAACCGAGAATTAACCGAACGGTTAAATAAAATGAGAAATGAATGTCCTGGTAATGTTGCACATAGTAACCTTTGATTGTTTTAACTCAGTAATTGTCTGAGGGAACAATGGTCGGAATTTGGAATCGGAATTCTGTACATAAAAGGTGCCCAAAGACCAATAGAATACGTGTGAAGATAACGTGAAAGTACTGTGTGCTAATAAACGTTCAAGGTGAATATCACTTGACGTTCAATTTTAACGAGTAAACTGAAGTGTGGTTCGATATAACATATCGAGTGCAATATAGGTACGAGCTTTCGCGTGACACGACGGCGGTGAAAAGTGGTAAGCAAGCTTTTTAAAAGCAAGGGTCCCAGCTCGATAAGCTAGGGGATGATAAAAAGCCACGTATCGTAAGCATAGGAAGCATTCGGATAGTTAATGGGTGCAAAACCACATGCAACATTATATATACATCGTTCTAACGCTGAACGTTTCAACGAACAGCCCAACAAAAATCTGATTTTCATGGTTTTTTTTTTTTTTTTTTTTTATTTATTTTTCTATCCACACTTACCTCGTCTATTAAGGTCGTTTCGTGGCGCTTCGATGGCTTCACGGCGCATCTCGTTAAGGAACTCTGTGGTTGCATCCACTGTGTATAGAAAACAGGACAACGTGCACGTAACATGAGGTGTGAACAAGAAATAATAAAAAGTTGATAGAGACGACTTATATTTTTCATCAGAAGTAATTCTAATGAGTTAAGGTGCGATACTTCATTAATAAATAATTTTAGCTTTCTAATTTCTATTGACTCGACAATGGAAAATCGATGAAGGAAACTGTGTTCTAATATAATAGCCTTTAAATAAATCTTACAATGTTGTCATCGTTAAATTACTAAATAGAAGGGGGCAATTGTTGAACAGCATGTTAACAGTTGTTAAAAACATTGGTTCTAAACTGTACCACTTCTAAAAGCATGGATATTCTAAATAAACTACTTAAAAGTTCTACGTTCGTTTGAACATGTGTGTAGACGCGCTTTTGTGCGTGTTCTTTAGTTGGAATCATCATCACGTCACGACCTTCTATTTCAATCGTCTTCTTTATATTTATCAAAACTAAGATACTGATAAAATTAAGATGTTGAACATGCTACAAAGTACTATATACGAATTCTAGAATAACCCAACTGAAAAGTTATGAGAGAGACTTGAATATTGCTCACTATGTTGTTACATAGTTTTTACCGACAATTACGCATATTTATGACGTAAATAAATAATCCTAAAGTTCAGTAAAATAATAAAATCATAGACCCTTAAAATATGTAGACTTATGTACATGTTAAAATATATTATGATGTCAAATCCCATTTATACAAAACAAATTGTCATGCTTTCCAGGGCTGTTATTGAACACGTGAGTTCTTTTCCACATCTACCCCAAAACATTATTACTTTTGTTCACCGAACATGTTAGTTAATTACATAGATAAGAAATGTATATTCTGGGGTTATTATTGTGTGCGTACGACTTTGAGTTAAATTGAAAAATAAAACGTGCAGTATTTAGATCCCCGTAGTTTAGATAGAGAGATGGACATAAATGTCTTCACCGTCGGTATTTATTCAATACCGGATTGGATAAATCCAACTTTGGGTGCGTCTCCATCCTTGGATGAGTTAATTCGACATTAAATAAAACCCCGTGGTGAAGACGTACTCAAAGTCAGATTTATCCAATCCAGTATTGAATAAATACCGACGGTGGAGACTTGGAATATTATGAGAAGACATTCATGTCCGCCAGTATGGAGACTACAGATATTTAAAAATAGTGATTTAATTTACAAGAAATTTGATTTCGCACATGTATTCTACGTATCACTTATGCAATTTGCATAACTCTAGAAAATGATTAGTAAAAAAAGAGCGGTGTTATAGTCCCCGATGTGCATTTCTTAAAGTGGTCTTAAAAATCTATATTAATGAAAACTTCAAGGTTCGCAGAGGTTCATACTGTGTCTATCATAACACTGAACAATGCAATTTAGATGTTAGTTGGAATTAAAAGAAAATAAACTGCTGAAGTCCTACCGATGTAAATGTTACAATTTCCCTCGTTGTACAGATACTATTTTATATAAGAACAACAATAGAGAAATGACTACTACACAGTGCTTATAGAAGAATGATTGGATGAATAAAATAAAAGAGTTTAGTCACAAGGATGAACGACCGTATTAACGTGCTAAATGGAAGTGTATCTAAATTTAATGAATCGATCTAACTACAGAGACTGATCATCGTAACCTCACCTGATGGTGTATGACGAGCTATTGTTCTGTGTGTGTCTTGTACTTGAACCTTGGCATGTTGAACCAACGGAGTTTCCGACACCGTAGGAGACATCAGTGTTTCTGTACCACAAACAATTTACGTGCCCATGCAACGTGCATTAACGTACGACGTATCGTACAAAACATCCAGAAAGTCAACTATTTAGAAATAACGATACTAAATTCTCATGCGCGTCAATGTGTTTGTATTTATTCCGAAAGTATTAACTCCATGACAGTTTTAAACAAGAAGAACGCAGTGCGTCAATAAAATATTACAAAAATGTCTCCATTTAATATCAAATTATACTAGTTCTTAATAGATTTTTTGTTTTTCGTTTAAAAAGACGCACAGGTGCTCGTTCTGTTGGAAACTATCATTCCAGAAAATTCCATGCACAACTGATTATTAGAGAAATTAATGTCTACGATACAATGATTTTTTAAACCTGCAACGATGCCTGACCTTTTACCCCTCCTCTGTACGACTTTATAAATATTAGTTTTTAATTAAACAAATGACTCACCATCGCTTAGAACAACTTCTGGCTGACTTGGCGCAGGCACTTGTTTCGTTTCTATCCGCAATACCCTAGGTTCTGTAACATAATTATACAAACATTTAATTAAGATGTCAAAATGTTAACGAAAAAAAAAAGCAGGGGTTAGAGAAATACATCATTTCCGGGAAAAGTGATAGTACGCGTTGCCCAATTAGCGCTTGAAAGACTATTATCCTTTGTAAAGGATATTACATGCAAGTCTTTTTACGGATAACAAATACAATGGAAAAATTTATGTCTTTACTCGGTACATCAACCGGATGAAATCGAAAGTCCAAACATGTACTCACTCAGATATCGATTAACGTTTTGCAAACTGCGCGGCTACGTGTATAGTCAATATTCGACCATTATGAAATATATTGATTCCAATGATAAATATGAAAAAAAAAATTGAAGCCCTTACAAATACTATAAAAATGAATTATAAAAATTGTTTGGTACAAGCATGAAATTAATGTGAATGCAAAATATACGTAACGTTATTTATGGCAGCAGAATTGATACGAGTTAAAGGTAGAATAATTAATGATAGGTGTTAACTTACCGTCTCTGCTTTCTTCTTCCGTTTCGGAGGTAACGGAAACAGGTGATTGGACAGGACTCTTGGCAGTGCTGGATTCATGTGTCGCACGGCTAACGTTGAAGGAAGACAATGCTTCCGACTCCGACTGTGATTCGTCATCTAAGAAATTAAGTTATTAGTATTTTGACCACGTTAGGTCAGAGTACTAGATGTACAACGAAATTGCACAAATGAGCTTATTAAACGTGCGAGGCCTACATATGCTAAAATAATGTAGACTAATATGAGCTTCGCAGTAAAAGAAGCAGATCTTTACTTCTAAAATGCACAAGAAACTTTAACGAAGATAGAAACTCTACGATGCAAATAAATCGCGTAATCTTTACTCTAAGCCATTGAACTCTGTGGTGTACATTGCAGTGTACTTGTATTTTTGTAAGGTACATTTTATACACTTTTTTTTATCTTTATATTTTACCATTAACCGAGTTTAATACAATTACGTGGTGTTGCGTCTACAGGGTAAAGTGGTAATAGTGTTATTATTTGGAAAATAGAGTGTAACTCGTATTGAACGCCCTATAAGATGTATTGCTTACCATTCCAAATTCTTATGAAAAAAATTGTTGTTTTCCCTCATTTTCATGTATTAACACTTAATATTTAATGCTACTCTGGTTGTTTAAATATCACATGTAGTTCTACGTCTTTGGCTTCTTATGTTCGCAGACATTTCTAAAAATGCATAGTAATTATTCGATTGAAAACTTCAGTAAGTTATTGACGATAAATTTCACTTAGCGAAATAGAAAAATAATGACAACGTATAAAATGTTCGTTCAAAGTCCAGCAATCTCTAAACCACTTTCCCCTATCAGCTGATGTGAGTGTACGAAAATATAATAAACGCAGAAAGTCATTTAAAATTATTATTCCAAAAGGATAAACCTAAATATCTAACGTGTTAATTATTGTATAACTCCACAATCTCTTTGCCAGTCTTCTTAGTGATTAACAGTAAAATAAATAAGAAATTTGGGGAATAAAATGTTTCGCAAGAAACATTGTTTATTTCTTCCTTTCCGACAAGAATCTTATCCCTTTGGGAATGAATTAAAGTCTCGAAAACAAGTACAACCCTATGAACTTCGATAAGCTTCAATGAGAATTATCTTAAATTGAATTTGAAATGACACTCATGGTTGAAAAGGAATACATTAATTTGTGTATACAACTTACAGGGATCTCCTTTTTGTTTGCGTTCGACGTCTTTCTTGTATTGGTCGAGTTCTTGATCCGTGACAGCATCGAACGGATTTTTCGCATACGGAGTTTTGTAGACCATCGCATTATGTTGGAAACCTCTTTGTATGATACCTTTGCTGGCTGCTCCAACCAGGACAACCTGCTCTCCCGTCCCACTGATTGTAGCATCCTAAAAATATAATTAATATATAGATATTATTAATATCCCAAAGCACATTGTATACATTTTATTTATACATGTACAGAGAAGGTAACGCGAATTTCAAAATTGAATAGCAATGTCTTAATTAACAAATAAAAGCGATTGTACTGGCCGTAGAAATACTAATTATAAACGTTAACTTGACTTCATGGAGTCAAGTAGCATTTTCATTTCACCAATGGTTTGTATTATAATTTTTAGCTGTTTTACAACTCTTATCTTTTTTAAATTGAGGTGCTCTACTTTCTCTAGTACTATCTCTATTGCTATCGCCGATTACACTCAAAACGGTATAAAAATGAGAAGAATAAACGCGCAAAGAAAGAACTATCTTTACAAAGGTTCCATGGCCAGCACTTCGTTATTAAAGTTAGTAAAAAAAAGTATAAACATGCATCGATAGTGCAGTTTATTTTGAATCTCTATCTTTAAAAACTTCTTGCATCGTTCCAGCCTTACGTTATCATATTGTAAATATTCATTACAATACAAATTTTCATTCTATCTGCAATTTTGATGATTTGTATAATATTCCCAGTCATAATTAAATTAAGAGGTACTTATTTTACCTGCATCTTTTTGGCTTCTTCCCATGTAACGCCTTCCAAAATATGAGACTGTGGCCCAGCAGATATTTTATCTGCTCTGCGATAGTCTTTGATCTATAAAGAGAAAGTGAAGGTAAAATCGATAGGTATATAAATCCCGCGAAGGAGCATCGGCAAAATTTCCTATTGCAGCATACATCTGTTAAGATGTATACATTTGTTTATGCTCCTCGGGAAAAAAAGGAAAATGAAGGCTAAGCCGTATGACAAGTCACATGATTTCTCATTTCTGCTTTCCGTATCTTCAGACGAGCTTTTCTAGATATCTACGCACGTTAGAGAAAAGTGAGAAATGATCTTTCTTTACTGGATTCAGAATTTCATGTTTAACCCTTTGAGCGCTATGGACCCATAAATGCATCCGACATTTGGTTCACTATTGCTTGGACGCACTGATGAAATTCGCCCTTATGCCAAAAGGGCTTAGCGCTCGAAGAGTTAAGAATCAGAACATTTGATGAATTGCTTTGTCCTCTAATGCATTTTGTTTTTCTTATGAAACTAAACATCATGAAATAAATACGTTATTATATATATATATTTGATAATTAAACCAAGACATGAAAAAGTACAGTGAAGTAAAATACTTACCTGCTGCTGGATCTGTTTGAACTCCTTCGGATTGGTATTCTTCGGTACGAACTGAAGAGCACTCTCGATCCTCACTGGAGTACTGCTATGAGTCGGCGATCCATCCGACACCCACTGCACACAAAACCAGAGCATTAGACGACCCTCTTGAGATCAATTCGGTAGCTTTAACCGAGTAAAAAGTTTCTCTAAGGCCGTAAAAAAAAAAGACTCTCGCATATAATGTGTGCCTGCTTCCGTTTTTCTACAGTTTGAATATCGAAAAATGTCAAGAAATGCAAATTTGCACCAACTCGTCTAGATCTTCCGTATATCTCTTAATTGGTACAAGTCTTCTTGAAAATTGAATCGAAAACCCGAAGTTTGAAACTGAGAGATCATTTTGTTCAGAAGGACATGCCGGTAAAACTGACTACCTAACGAATTTAATCACGAAATAATGTATTCAAAATGATTATATCTGGACGTAATTCAAACTCTAAATTGTGTATCTTTAAGATCGACACATTCGTTTACTAATTTTAGATTCTCTTTCTCTCGCTAACTTTATTATTAAACATTTTGAAAACGACTATTTCTTTCTTGTTTCGTGAAAGGGCTTCGATTCGATTTTCCTTCAGGAGTAAACAAATGAGAAACTCGAGAATTTAAAAGGACACTTTACGTAAGAGTTATTGAACGAAAAATGTTATTATTTTCCAAGCCAACGATTCAATAAATGATATTAAAAGGCAAAATTAGGAAGAGAACAAATTTGCATATATTTCGATATCTGGTTAAGAAAAACACCTTTGAACAGTTTCGACTTCTCGAAGGAGAAGCCGATACTCAAAGGGTCGACTTTAACATCTGGTTTTGTAAATGCAGTGGATGCACATTGAGGATTATCGAGAGCTTAATAGAAATACCATCAGGCACACATAAAGAGTCGTGTAATGAGTCTTCTAATTATTATGTCGTACTGAAGGTATCACAGTTCCGCAACCATCGATACGAAAATCGAGCTACAATTGATTTGACACTGAACTTCAATTGACACCAATCAATATCTCCACATAGTATACATCTAAAACAAACAAAAATATTTATGGAACATTTTCGTACTTATCAACAGCATATCAATTACAGCTCGATTTTTTATATTGACAATATTTTCCCTGTACTATAGACCATATTAGTCGATGTATAATTAGTAAATGAAGTTGGTAAAATGAACCACCTGGATCTACAAACACGCAAAGTTGTTGCAATAGAAAGAAAATCTACGGATGTTTATACATATATGTTAGAAAGATCTGTCGTGATATTTTATAATTTATTTGTGGCCAAAAGTGTCCCGCCTCTAACAGTTATAAACCTAAACGAATTAAGATTTTAATAGTATTGAATTTCAATTTGATAAATCATCAGTTATACATAAACCGTTGCAATCTTAAAGTAGATGGAGGCCAAAATTGAATTTTAACTCAAAAATTCACAATTTTATCTTATAAATACAATACTTATACACGGATTGAGACAGTCTTCCCATGCAGAAATGCATTACGATATAAGAAAGTAATTCTCTCATAGAATCCAGACAATTCATATTACCAACTTTAAACGGCTAAATGTCGTACGATTTTTATACTGTAAAAATCGTTACGCTATAATCATATTATTACGCATATTTTATTTATATAAGTATCGAAAGATAGGAACCCGCGTTTTGCAGATCAAGCGAGAAGCAATTTTATGAAAATGATACATTCAGATGTTAGAATGCTTTTCAGAATAAAAAAAATCCACAGCAATGCCATGATTTTGTTATAAAATGATTCTTTGACTATTCAGTTTGATGCGTTTTCAAGCCAAACATGAAAAATTAAAGATGCAGCTGCCCGAAACTGAGAGCGCCATTTTGAATTTCTTAGAATGAGTTTTAGCGAAAGATGCGGTACAGATCCATGCCATGAAAACGGAACCAATGTTTATGATTAATTCAAAGCACATGCTTAAATTTCCGCAGTATTATCATTAATCAAATTAAACCGTTTACATATTTTCTCTTTTAAACCCTCAAAGTTTTGAATGATATTAACACCAGATTAATAAATGTAATAAAGTACGTTTCGTTTGAGAACATTATCTCCTATATGTAAATCTTCAATGCTGATTGCCAAAGTTCACCACGATGGACCGGAGCACATATATGAACCAAAATAAAAGAAAAATAATTAAATAGAAGAGCTAATATGTTTTAATAGTACCGAATATATAATACGCGGAATCGAAATTATTAATATTTGAAATGAGATTAAAATTGAATGCCTTCGTAATAAGATAGGAGAAACCTTTTCTTGTTCAAAACACATTACTTCATATATATAATAGCATATTGATGTACACGAGAATGTACTGAACAGATTTGTTTTAGAATGCAGCGAAAAATTAATCGTTCAGCGGCTTGTTAGTTTTGTGACTTCTGAAAGAAGCAGTTGCTCGTGACAACAGGTTTTTTTCAAGAAAAGGATTTTGTCTTATATGGCTTAATATCCTGCAGAAAATATACGACATGAACACGTGGACACTGAAAGTTACAGAAAGAAACAAGAATGTCTGGAAATTAGTAGATGATGCCCACAGTCGATTCAGCCCAATGCCTACTGAGATGAACGTAGCACCTAATTCGGGAAATAGGTGAACTTATAACTAATTAGAAAAGTAAAGATAAAGATGACTTAGTCCGACATATTAATCCAAGTAAATGTGGATTCCATTTACCTCCTCTGCACTTTGATCCACCCACTATAATGAAAAACAAGCCAAAAAAACGGCGGGATTAGAAAAGGATCAGTGTACATGCTCCTAAGTTAATCGCTACGAAGAATAAAAAATTACACTCAAATGGAAATAGATTTAAAAATCCTTAAAGAAAATATATGCATCTGTTTTGGGGTAAACAAATGAGGTACTTCCTTTCTTCAAAGGTACTGCACTGAGGACATGAAGTACTCAATAAGGCACAAAAGAATTGGAGGTACCTCATTTTTTTTCTTTTTCTACTAAGTTTAGGGGTATATTAAATATTAATTTCCCTGAACATTCCATTACTGAAACATCTTTTACAAGCTCATTACACTCTTGAAAAGGATAGTAAACGGCAGCAAGAGTATTGAGACATCGTATACTTGTAGTAAACAGTTTATGACGGCATAAAAACGCATCCTTTACTGTCTATTTTTTAATCGTGGAGTAATTTTCTAATCTTGCTTGTTAGTTTTCGTCGTGTCCTATATGCGTAACATAATCATGTTTATAATGCTTCATAGTATTAACTATTGTCATTGGTTATTGACCAGCCCCATTGTGTTTATTCAAATACCTTCAGTTGCTTCTCATTGTGCCTTCGAGCAATCAAATTAACCAATAGAATTTATCAAATAAATATTACTATTCGTTTTACTGGAATCCTATAGGTTTCAATTGTTTGGATTTAACATTTCTTAATTTTAAAAACTCAACTTGCAAGAAGAGAATAATTTAATGAGCTAGTTTCACTACCTGGAATTCGAAAAACCTATCTTATAAATTTGCTTGGACATATTTAGCAATGTGAACCAGTTCAAACGTTTTTTTCTGTTGAACAGCTCTATTTTTCTAGCGGACATCCCTAACGTGTTTAACATCTCACTCACATACACAACATGCCTTATAAAATTAATTAAAATTACTAAAGTACAAACGAAGCGCCACTTTTTTCCATGGGAATGGTACTATACGTAGTTAATAATCGTATGTATTTATCCCAAAAGGCACACGTGCAATATTTTAATTTATTCTTTAATCAACTGGCCGACTAATCGATTTGTTAATAAAACAATTAACAATTTTCTATCAATTTTCAATCCGGAAATTATTCACAACACTGTAAGGGAAGCTAAGAATTAAATGTTTCCAAGTCGAGAACTATGTTAAACCCGACGTTTGTTAAAAAAAAAATTGATATTATCGTTATTAAAGGGAGGAACATAAGCGCCGCTTGGTTTGTATATATATTTCGTGGTCTGAAACTTTAAGGAGAGACGTTGGTGAAACTAATATTGAAATTAGTAAAAGTGGTGAAAACAAAAACATTGAATGAAGAAACCCTCCATCCTAAATTTCCTACTAATATATTTTATGCAAGGAACTTTGCTATGTTAGGTAAAATTCCTTATTCGTCATTTTCAGTATACTTCATAATTTCCATTTATGTATATAAAACTTGAATAAATGTGTATAAGATCGTGGGCTTCCTAATACGGAGGACAAAAATGTTCATTACCGTATCAGAAACATTTCAGCAACGTATCTCTTAAAAAAAACGACCGTATGTAAAAATCATCTAATCGAATAATTCATCAGCAATTGTATCTTTATTTGGAACATCAATAAGCTACACAGAGAAACAATAATTGATGCCTTAACACTTAAAACTGGGAGATGATCGGTTTAGTACGGATTATTCCGCGTGGCGTCGCGAACAATCGATCACTCAATCAATTGACATTAATTGATCTCGAGAAGTTTCGGTAAACGGACAAATTGATCGTCGCGACTAGTTGATTGGACATGCTACTTTATTTATTATTTCTTATATCTTATATTTCCTTCACTACACGTGATCTCAATCCTGATCGATCAATCGATCGATAGTAATGTTATATTATCTACCGTAGTCGGAACAGTCGATAGAACTGGTAAAAAATAAAGTAAAATTTGGGCAAGAAGTAGCTTTTTAATAGACAAACGGTTCATAAATTTAAATGCATCCTTCTTTCATGTACATTATCATTTTTAGATACTGCTTTTCTAAGAAACAATACAGCCAGAGCAGAGCACAGAAAATATGAAAATTATTTTCTTTTGATTTGCTAAATTATTCAGTTTGGCAATTTTAACGCATTCAAAGTACTGGAAATTATGAGAATATGGATGCACAGAAAATTTGAGACTAATTATACTTCTTCAAGTCTTTTTTTTTTTTTTTTTTCATTTCAAAACACCGACACATCCCCCCTCCGGTAACTTTATAAATCCATTTCAGGTGAAATTTCGATTACAAAATGCAGTAAGTAAGGCGCATATTATAGTCTTGCCACTCAACTACTCATAGAGCTCAACATTTACTTTTATAATTAAATTGAGGAGCAACGTAATAGTCAATTAACTCAGCAAGTACAAGGTTAATCACTTAACCCTATTTTTTTTTTCTTCTTAGAGTAATATATGATGTTTGTGCAATAAGAATAAAAAGTTTCCCATTGTACTATAGAAAATTGATTTTCCTTTTAGAAGTAGTAAATAGAATAAGTATCATTTCAAAGAATGGTGTGAAGGGATTCCTGTTAAGAAAAAACCCTGATTAGCATTTGACTGGACGCATATCAGAATTTCTTTTTAGTAGGAAGATCAGTGTAATGGGTATTGATTTGGTACTTTGTAAAGAGACGATGTGAGTGAGTTGCTAGCTATGATTAATAAATGGCACATTTACCATTGGCTACGATAAAACTTGTTTCCTAACAGTTAACACGCGATATATGTCTAATTGACTAAACGGATACCAATCGCTCGAATTCGCGAACGGATTAAATACGACTTTGTTCTTGTATTATTTTCACAGATTGCACTGATAAAGCCGATACTCGTTTGTAACAGGATGAGAGAAAAACGAAGGTTCAGGTTGTCATTAAATCGACAAATGTTCGGAGAATAAAATATCAATCGAAAAATATTCAAGAAGCGTCACGAGGTACTGATAACAGACCATATTAGGCTATTTCTGGTAGTTATGTTATTTACCTTCCTCAACAAAATATTATATAACAATTATTTCAACAAGGTACTTTCATCGGATACTTATTTAATTCAGATACCGTTTCGATTATGGCATACTTCTCTGTAATTTAATGTTTACTCTAGATTTACGTGTGATAAATGTATTAAGTGATGTAAAAGTTGAGTATTAACCGTAATATTTCATATCCTTAGACAGTGATGTCCCATGCGTAATAACGAGTGGCGTAATAAGTAAGTATACCAATAAAGCAATTTGTCATAAAAGAAGAAAACATTTGTCATAAGAGATCAATGAGATTAAATAAATCCATGATGTATATAACATGAGATTCTGTCCGATAAATGTACGGTTAAAATGGAATTTGTTAAGAGACACAAATACTGTTTCTTGAAGATAAGATTCTACCGACATGGTTCATGGAATGTAATGTGATTTCGCAAACTGAATGAATTATTAAAAACTTCAAAAGCCCCAATTTCTTTAACTTTGTAAGAACGACTATAAGCAAAAAAAAAAGTAGATTCCGTTTACACATCATGTACGATGTATCACGAATCAGTTACAGGTAATTAACAGTTTATACTGACTACTTGTCAGCTCATTATACATATAGTTGCACAGTGTAACCTAATTATAGGAAGCAATTAAAGACACCTCGCTTATCTATCATCCCACATGTAATTGCACATCTGTTCAAAGAGCAGCAAATCACAAATTTCTTTTGTGGCATAGAGTATTTGGGATGCTACAATATGAAGTTGGAATGCTAACTGGAATGTGCATGAGACCGTACAACTACAAAGGAGTAGACTGAATTGTACATAAAAGGCTAGAAAAACCTGTAAATGTAATAAGCTCTAATTATATACGGTAACGACTAATATTTCGAAGGAAATGAACAAGTAAATTTAAAGTAAAATGCTGCCTATAAATCATTTTTTTTTTCTCTCTAATTTGGCGCCTTATATGGCGTTCGATTTTAGCGCGAACTTCATCTAAGCACGTTTATCTGTTACATTAATATCATATTTATACACTCGTTGCAAGCACACATAATAGCTTTAGTCACTTTGCGCATTAAAATCGTTAGTAAAAACACATAGATATCTCAATAGATTATTATATCAGAGTGTAACGTATGGGAACATTTAATTACGCGTCTGTCAGATCATCAGAATATTTTTTCATGGTATTAACTGACCTGTTATAATAACACTTTCTTATCGAAAGTGATATACTGCCCTAACCAACATTCATTTTACGAACACAGCATTGCAACAATGATTACGTACCCGGTCTTTCAACAAGTGAAGTCATACGAGCATATTTTAAAGGATACTCGATGGTAATCACTATACACTATGCTATGAAATAACAAAATATGTCCAGAGGGATTAGGCAGTTATCTTATCTAGATCAGGCTTTAAACTCTTTCAAGCAAAAACCAATATTACTGTAACTACATCCATTGAAGTTTCACAGAGAGCGTCCACGGTTAAAAGTATCGAAGTCTTCTAGTAAAAGGTTTGAACGATTCGATATAATGTATTTCATTCGTATGACTTCAGTGTCGATTATTACCCAGTTTCGTAAATATGAAACTTAACAGCTCGGATAGTAACGTCGTTACTAATTTCGATTAGCTAATCTCAGGAATGGGTACGACGTATCTCACTCTGCGGACTCCTAGATTCTACGCCTGAGGATCTAGTACTTAAAATTCAATGTCCTACTCTTGTTTATTCTCAAAAGTAATGACTTCTACCTTGGTGATCTTCTTGGGATCAGGAGTTCCGGTTTCCAGGATTTCGACCTTTTGGTAGACATTCGGCGAGTTCAACCAACGCGATCTGTCGGTACCCTTGCGACCACCTTTCCAAAGTCTGCAAAAAAAAAACAAAAACCAAGAAAGATTAATTATTTTTCAGTCATTTGAATCTCTTCTAAAAGATAAGATCCTGGTTGACGAAATAAAACACCTTAATAGAATAGCAAAATTTAACATGTAGAAATAGTGACAAATCTCGGATCTAAGTTTATTAACTAGCAATTATATTATAACATTGTCTGGGTTAAAGACTGGAATAGAAATAAAAACATCCATTAAACGATCCTAACTTCATAAATGCAGTTATTATGAATTAGCAATGGTCACTTGAAACTAATCATACAGACTGAAAAAATTGACTACTTTGTGCCAATCTCGTTTCTAAAATAAATTTATCATAAGGAAGTAAACGTGAAATAATCTGACGTTACAGGAAAACGTTCATTATTTTTTTAACATGTGGGAAGGTATGTACCTAAATTTGTATAACTTGTCAGATAGATCACGCCAAGTTGTGCGATTATTTAAAAAATTAAATAAAACGGAATAGCATAAATTTAGATAACATTACCCTTGCTTATAAAGTTCTTCTTCTTCCAATAAATATCCCAAAGACGATACCGCTGGTGGTACCTCAACATCATTACGAGGTCGTGGTGGTTCACTCTTAACCAATGGATGTCTGTATATGTAACCCGTACGGAAACCCTAAAAAATGTAAAATAACGTTATTATTATACATATACATGCAATCGTATTCAAAAGTATTAAATTAAATTTCTCAATCAAATTCGTTTGCTACTACTATTAATAAGAATAACAGTTATCAGTAAAACTCCAAATAGATTTTGAACAATCCAAAACTAGATCAATTAACTTTTGCACTTCGCCGAAAAAGTCGTATTTCTAAAGACGCGATTCCTTCGTTAGTTAAAAATAGAAACAGCGTCGTATACTTAAGAATTACTTTTTCGCTTTAAAACCGAACGGTAAGAGGTTTCAATTAGAAAAATCCTAATTGCCAATCACGTTATTTTCTGAGATGCGAACATGTGAACCGTAAGTAATCTTCTTAAGTAAAAAAAACTGAAGCATCCTAATTTTTACTGCAAACGCAAAATTAAGACCTACTTGGGTCTCATGCCCTGTACGAATGTATTAGGTCGAGGAATAAGTTCCCACCGTTTTAATTACGTTAAGTTACGTTAAAAACGGTGAGAATTTATTCCTCAATCTAATGCATTTTAAATACAAAACTTCTTTAATTCCGTCTATAACCTACTATGGTGTATCTATAGATCAATTCCACTTATGTTGCTCCACGAAGAAAAAATCTTTCGCTATTTGAATATTGTGATAGAACGAAAAATGAATTATTTAAAATATAATTTGATAGCAAACATCAAGCGGAGAACAAGCATGTCATGAACATGGAATTTAATTTAACCCGGTAATCGTTGCATAAAGTTTGCAAGGTGACATACCGCGTTATCGAGCATTCGCATAAGTGCCTCAAATTCGGCACCGCCGATTCGCCAGCGTTTCTCCAGTTTCTCAGCCAAAGGCGATGGTTCGGCAATCGAGCTGTGATAAGGAATCTGCGGCTTTCTCGACGCTTCGAATATTGCCTTTTTGGACTCCTCGGAGATGAGGTTCAAGTTTTCCAAGCCGACAGGCATCAATTTGAGCTGTGTTTCGCAGGCTATCATGGTATTGTACACGTTATAAAAGGCCTCCTCAACCGTTTCTCCACAACAGATGGCGCCGCGATTCGTCAGGAACATGACTTTGTTTATCGGTCCTAGATTCCTTGAGATTTTCTCTCGCTCTTCGGGTTCGAAAGATCCACCGATGTACTGATGAGTGCTTACTTCGCCTATTACTATGCTCTCTTGTCCCAGCGGAAGCAGGCCGCATTTTAGAGAAGAAACCTAGAAAAAAAATCGTCTCTTATAGAAACTGTCAATATTGCAGACTCGATATCAAGTAATTTAATAATAATGGACACGACTGTATAAATAAATAAAACCGTATCTATTACATTAATCCGAAGCGTTTGATACGTCTTTCGCGCAATTTTCTTTCAACTTTATCATTGATACTTACCCGTCATTATCTAAATGTAATAGTTTCGAACATTAGTAGCTACTTCTGTCTACTGATATCGGGAACAAAGTGCAATAACATTAAAACACGTTTTTCCCATTGAAATTCTTAAATACGGATATAAAAAATAAATGTAAATAATCTGGATTCGAACCACTGACCACTTTAATATATGTTAAACGGCGTTAACTGAACGTAAAAAGCATTTTAAAATAGAAAGTTTCAAATCAGATTATCCTCCGAGTGGATTCCAAATTACAGAAAATTTAAAGCGAGAAACAGCTTTTCGTCCAAGCCTACGTCGGTATGTTTAGATTTTTAATTAGCTTTCAGTTAGAAACTGAGGGCAAAAATTTCAAGTCTTACGGCTATCACGGACGGAGTGGTAAGATGAACGATGCACTTAATGTCAGGTCTGGCAGCATGTATAGTAGAGTGAAGTTGAAAGCCTGTGACGTGGACCCCGAAATTCGTCGTGCCCTGTTCGACGATGGCACCTTGCATGTCGACCTTGACCAAACTCGAGGCCGTCACCTCGTGGTAAAGCAATCCGTAAGGATTCACCAGGAAGTGTTCCTGGTCCTGGTTCAGTCGCGCCGTAATCTGGCCCCCTACACCTTGAGTCCATCCGTACAAATCGAGCAATCTAAATATCGCAGCGAGTTTACATCGAAGGAGCTTTTCGCCCTTGGCGTAACCCATGCTTTCGACTCCACGAATATCGTTGATCGGCAGCACGCAGTTTGGATCTGAAACGGCAAAAACGTCTCGTTAAAAAAGGAATTACTACAAAAATGAACATCAAATCTTCACCGACAAAACATTATCCTCGAAATGGAAGAATATCAATTAACGAGAATTAAAAAGAATATGATCGCTTGGTCGTTAAAAAAGGAATTACTACAAAAATTAACATCAAATCTTCACCTACGAAACATTACCCCCAAAATAGAAGAATATCAATTAACGATAATTAAAAAGAATTTGGTCGTTTGGTCATTAAACAAGGAATTACTTCAAATATGAACATCAAATCTTTACCGACAAAACATTATCCTCGAAATGGAAGAATATTAATTAACGAGAATTAAAAAAAAATATATGATCTTTAGGTCGTATTTCACTTTGTCCGTCAACAGACGTAATTAAGGCGACTGCACGTATAACGATAAATCCGTATAAACCGATCTATAAACATTCAATTGCGCAGGTGAATCGCTACGATTTATCATTACGCGTAATTGTATCTGTATTGGGAAATAATGTAAACAATTTTGCTTTCCTGTATAGTTAACCCATTCAAAACCGAAACACTTTCCTGTACATAAATCGATCTCGTGCTTATTATGCACATCCATTGGCGTCAAATGGGTTAAACGGTTACATGTAATTATAGCTTCTATTATAAGTTATTCCAGAGTTCGCGTATTGGTTATTCATTGTCAGGGTAATGTATTAACCCCTGGCGTTGACATTGAACCAGTGACCGCTCGAGACGTATGCGTCGATTTAATTTAACGCTTGAGAGGGCAAACGTATATTCTTTTCAATGTTTTCGGGTTCAATGAATTTTCATTGATTGAAACAAGGGTATTATCGGTAATAACAGGCATTACCTAGGTACAATTATCGAATATCATTGATCGTCCGACCCGAAACGGCAGAACATTTGGAAGATCTAACTTTAGAACAAGGGATTACGTATAATGTTAATGGAGATCACATAATTGCAAAAAGGTAATATGTAAATAATGTGCTCAAAAATGATGCAAAGATTAGATGAAGAAAAATAATTGAGGTTCAGTTATTAGAGTTAAAAGAAAATCGTTCAGATTTAAGTTTTCTTTCGACATGAAGTGAATTCAAAAAGGTTTCGTATATTCATCACGTTTTAAAATAAGTATTGATGAAGGTAGGAAGATAGAATACAGAATGTCACGAAAATGAAGAAAGCATCAGCTGGTCGGAGTACTTTTCAGCAAACTGTGAATTTAATTAATCAGCCTAATGTAATAGATTATTTTCTTTTGCTTTAGTTATGTTACATTAACTTACTTTTGAACATATTCGCATGAAACCGTGCTCCTTGGGCACCCATCATGTCTGAGATCTGTTGCAAAAGACCAGAGGGACCAGCGCCATCTTTCATTTGTGTTTCGATGATGCGTTCCAGCTCTTCCCTGAAGAGCCTCGAGTTCATCATCATTTCTACCCTCTTCCTCCTTTCCATTTCTCTCATGTCCTGTAGAAAATGACATACATATTAACTCTTTCGCTACTAACGGTGTCTATAGTCACCCAACGCCTAACGCTCGCTATATACTGACAACCTGAAAACCTTCCGTAAAAGTACCCGAAACATTTTTAAAAAGTACTCGATTTTCGGGTACCCCTTAAAACGCTTCGGGTACTTTTACTAAAGGTTTTCAGGTACTTTTTAGAGGGTTTCAGGTACCTTTAAAAAGTACCCGATTTTCCGATGATACGATATCTTGTAAATCAAGAGCTGAATGGAAATAACATTCTAAACATAAAATCCAAATATTTTTCTTTTACTTATATCTTATTTCTTTCCTAATTCATTTTTAGAGGATTATACTTAGGTGCTGTATTTGATACGAATATTCTTTGCAGCCAAAAAGCTTCTGTAAAAAATAGTGACAAGGTATGTATATGTTAAGCGAAGGTGCTTTTAAAACTTACGGCATCGATATCAGCAGGTCTCATTTTACTTTTTTCTTCTTCTGTCAAACCGTCTACGACACCGTTGGTGTGCGGCTCCGAGATCTCCTGTTGGCTCGTGTCCGCCATTTTTGAGTCTCGCCTGTCCACCCCCGACTGAAAAACAAAATTCAAGGAAATTAGGAATCAGTGTAACATATTTGTTACCTTAAGAAATTCATTTTCGGTAATCGATTGTTTTGTTAAATAATGGAAATAATTAACCCTCTGCCCCGCGACTCCGCCATTTCAATGATTAATAAGAAGGATCGAAGGCAAAGGGTTATTTGTTAACATTGCAACTTTTTTTTATCAACCGGCGAAATTGCATAGATCTAAAAGCAATTTAATATGTTATTTTTCCCGTTCTCTATATAGTGCGTTTTGCTTCATATCATCCCACGACTTTCTTGTTTTGCACCTAAAAAGCCTATTAAAAGTCTAGCCAGTAAATGTGGATCGGAAATACATAATTCAGGACAAAGTGGGTTTAGCTATACCCGTTTGAAAAAGAAGAACGCGATTTTAGGTGTGAGTAACTGCGACCATTGTGCAACGACCTCGCCAATCCCATTTCGTGTACGCATCCTGACAATTATCTTTGTACCCATAATTTCCTCTGACATAACCAATAACAAACGAGTAGTCCGAGTCGAAATGATCGATCTCAGTTGAGTCTCTAAATCCTTTATTCCCTTGATCATGTAGTTTGCCGGCGGAAATTTTAACCTCATTAGTTCACTATAAAAACCACAAAGTTCATCTCTCTTAATAAAACGTTCAAATCGTCGAAACGTTTCAACTTAATTAAAGCTTGAAAGATCTTAGAATATAATGAATATTACATTTTATACAAGCTAGACCCGAAAATCTTTAAACTATTAAACGATGTTAAATAGAGAAAAAAACGAAATTCGCTGACCCAGGGTAATGATTTCTGTTGTCATTGAAAACCTACTAAAAAAATAGGTTCATGGCATTATCGCGCTCGAAAAAAATTAAATCTTAGATATGTAAAATTTGATGTTGCAATTTATGTTAATAATTTAAATAACACTCTATTCCTAAAGTCAGGGGTGAAGGAGAGGACCTCGAGGAAGAAGCGAGGTTCAATTGACGAAATATTCCATGTGCACGGTACCGATTTTGTTGATTCTGATAGATGTAGTATATCGAAAAATAAGAGACACGTAGTTTTTATACATGCTAATTTACGACGTTTAAAAAATGAAAACCACCCCTAAAGTTGTCTCTCGAAAACAGTTTAACATTTTATCGTAAATGAAACAATATTTCTCGACCGGGCCAATTATAATTTGTTCGGTTTTAACCAGCAATTTCAACAATATATCACATTAAATTCCATTTACGAGAAAGTGTAAACAAAAAAAAACGGTTTTCGGCGATCAATTTTGAGGGAAATTTTCACCTCTTATACTCATGAATTAGGATATATACAAAAATACGTGTCTGATATTTTTCGATGCATAACCTTTGTCAGAACCATAAAAATCGGTAAAGTGGACCTGAGATGTCTTTCTTGTGAGTATTAGAATTAAAGTTTCCTAGATTTAACCGAATGTCAATATTATACTCTTTTGGACCTCAACCTTAAAAAACGGACATAAGTAAACGTTTCAAGTTGAAATGAGAGGTTTCATTAACACCGTGCGATCTTAAATTCTCATATTATACTGCAAATGAATATTGCTTGCATATATAATTTTCGACTCAGCTGGTGAGCGTTTGCCGATAAAAAGAGGGACGTCATCCTGAATTCCTGAGCTTCTTCGTGGAACGTTTTATCCCCTCCGTAACTCCTGGCTCATCTAACTTTTGCTTCTCTTGCAACTTTTTTTCAACGAGACTCTCCTACGCTATCGACCTCTGTTTCTTAACCTTGTTTTACAGAAGCCCTTTTCATTTTCAGGGTTTAGGGTGGAGTCTGAACTACACAAAACGACGCCATGACAACGAGACATGGCGCGCTGCCAAATGGGAAGATAGAGTAATTCATCTGCAGACGAGTCGGTTAAAAATCCTGGTAGAAATCGAGGAAATACCACAACTATAGTTGCTGTTTCTTAACCTTGTTTTAGAAAAGCCCTTTTCCTTTTCAGGGTTTTGGGTGGAGTCTGAACTACACAAAACGACGCCATGACAACGAGACATGGCGCGCTGCCAAATGGTAAGATAGAGTAATTCATCTGCAGACGAGTCGGTTAAAAATCCTGGTAGAAATCGAGGGAATACCATAACTATAGTTCGACCGGCATGAAAAGACAATGGAATGCAATTCTGGATGAATAGCTAGAGGGATTGACTTGATGTTTGAATTAGAAGGAAGTTTTCATGCAATGAGACTCTGTTAAAAAGATCCGTTCGAGATCTAAATACTCATCCTTCGCTTTTAGCCTTAAAAGGCATCTCTTATCTGTAGCAAATGGCTATAGGCGTCTTTTAATCCCGTTCGCAAATAACCTCCTCATTAACAATAACTATAAGACCCTGTTAATGTTCATACTCACGGGACGATTGTCGGGATCTGGAGATAACTCAGGGTACTCTATAAATACGTTCACTAGAGCCTTGTTGAGGACATTCACGCACAAAGTAAGATGTAACATCTTATCGTGGCTCGATTAAAAATTCATAAACAAAGAATCACGTATGAAAGTGAAACAATTGTCTCGATTCCATCTCCTCGAATTTTACGTTAAATTCTGTTAGTGTCATCTTAACACCTGGTTCGAATTGTAACAAAGAGAACACTCAAAAGGTCTGTGGGATCGTAACCTTCGCCGTATCATCGTCCATTAACAATCGATAGTTAAACGATTTGCCCTAACAACGAGACTTACGAAATCCTTTCGTGTTATTTTATTTTTAGGTACGTCGCATCATACTGCACCCGCCGCGGGATGCAACAATGAACAAACGTCCCACTTTTGATTAGGCAAACAAAACGAAGGCAGGCGTCGCCTGGTACCGGTTACGTGCCTCGTTAAAACGTACTAATTCGAATTGCCGACACTCGATTGCTTGTTAACGCATTACTATCATCGGTTGCGTAACCACCAAGGTCCGATGCATCACCAGGATATTATGCGACTTTTCCTTACGCGTCCTCGAATCAACGAATCCCATATGGTCAAATGAGCCGTTCAGTGCACACATCGACTAACTCCACTTTTTGAAAAATCTTAAATTTAGGTGTCAAAGCACTTGGTATAGTCATAACTTTTTATATTTATAATATCTTTCCTGATTAATAGAGATTAACAGCATTAAACGGCAAAATTTTTTGGGGCATTGAATAATAAGTAATTTATTTCAGAAGCCATTTTGATTAACTCCATACTCTAATGTAAATCGTAGACGAATACCTGGCAGTATAGTATTATTGGATTATCTGTTGCGGCCGTACATCGACGCTTTTTTTTTTTTGAAACAGCCGAAGATGCTTTCCCCCTTTCAACAATATGAGTAATAAAATCGCATCAGCAAACAGATAGAAAGAAGCGCAATGCAGACGGTAGTTGGTATAACAGTGATCTCTCACGCTGAATGTTACCGTATACTTCACCAATATTACACGGACTACATATTTTTTGGTCTTTTCAACATTACTCCCTGATTGTTTTTAAAGAACTAAATATTATACCGTTATAATCAAGATGAGTGAAACTAATAACAATGTGGATGTGGAAAGCAGTGATGATTTTTCAATACGATTTATCGGCAGAAAGTCTGGGGCAAGAAGACGTTTATCGTGTTTCTCGGATTCATCCGATTGCAACGGTACAAATTCCCCAACAAACACATCGATTGGGAGGAAAAGAAGTCGTAATCCTGATAAATGGGCACGAAATATACAAAAGCATAACGGAACAAAAGGTTTGGCATACAGGAATAGGGGAGGAAATTTAATACCTGCAAAAACATTTGTCGATATAAAATGCAGACGATTATTTTTTGGCTATTCTTTCTTATTAATTTTATATACCGTTAGATGAAAACTATAACTGTATTTATGTATTCTACATTATATATTTGAAGTTATATTATAATAGGAATTTTAAAAAAGAATCTACATTACTTCATCGCATTTCTCAACTTTTTGTTTTATGGAGTTAATCAATGTGTGCACTGAGCGGCTCAAACGCAGCTGCGGATGCTGTTGTGAAAAATTTCCGCTCGGCATTTTTTAACAATTTGATATCGGTAGATATTGACCGTAGACTATCGCGGTATCGTGATATGATTACAATGTTGTGCGATAAGAATTTTTTCTCGTGCTTTTTGAAACGTAAGATAGTTGGCGGGCTGCTAATTGATATTTTCGATTATATAACAAAAAGAAAAGAAGCAAAAGATGAAAATACATGTACTTCACAGATGAATAATAAAAAGAAATCACGGCGATTAATTTCCAACGACGATTGAATGTTCTTAAATAATTACATCTACTCTAGGAACAGAAGCTAATCTCACTCCCGGTACAGAAATAATTGATAAGGGACCTAAGTTTCCTACCTCACGTTCGTCCCCGAACGTGCCACTCGGCGTAAATTTAACATGTCCTTACAAAGTAGTTGGCTACAAAAGATTGCCTAATCTATGGAAGAGACAGAAACGTGAGTCACTGCAAAAAATATACCGGCACTGTTAAGTCGGTAAACCAAGATAAATATATAAATCATGTAAGACACTTCGTTCTACAGCGCCACATTTAATCCCTTCTCTCTACATGACAAATTTTCTCACGTGACATTTCACAATTACGTCCCCGCGCAATCGCGGTTAATTATTATCGCACGATGACGTTATCTTTTCCCCGTAAGATTACAAAATACAAAAATAAATAAGACGTTCGTAAATAACACAAGACTCGTGCCGTTAAATCTGTAAGCCAAATTAAACATTTAAGTTATGTCACGTGACACTTCACAATTACGTTCATACGTAGCTGCATTAATCATTATCGCACGGTAACGTTATATTTTTCCTACAAGATAACAATACAAAAATAAATAATACAAGACTGGTACAGTTCAATCAAGCTAAGCCAAGATAAACATATAAATCATATCACGACCCTACATTCTATGACGATATACTTAATCGCTTCTCTACAAGATATCCAATTTTCTCCCGTAACCCACATAATTACCTCTACTTGCAATCCCGTTAATTATTACCATACGGTAACGTCATACTCCCCTCTTAAGGTTACAAAACGCAAAAATAAAACACGAACATGGGCAATAACCGACGCCTTAACGGCACGCATTTTCTCCACTTCACAGCCATTAACCATCGTAACTTCCACTTTTAAACCGGAGGTTTATTCTATTTTCAGACAATTACGTATTTCGAGCACCAACGCCTTTACGAATTGTGCACAACTGGATTTCGAGCATCCTTCTTACTAAATATAAAAAATGAAAAGTCCGTGGCTCGGAACAAACTGGTACACCAAACTAGTACTACTTCATTCTCATTGCCGATAAATCCATTACCAGTGGGTAATCACGAATGACATACATCATATCGTACTCTACTCTATGGTCCCAAAGAATTCAGAAGTCTCCATAGAAGCCCAGGAGGATACGCACGTTTGCTGCTCGATAAATAGTACGTTAGCCAATAGATGGCGGCGCTGCAGTCATCTCTCCATCTCTCTCAATCTTACGGCGATTTATAGCGGATTGCGTTCTTTCTTTATCTTACACCCAGTACTCGCCTTTTTATAAGCATCTCTCTTCCTCTCGTATATAAGACACCGTTGGCTAACACATGCAATCTCTTTTTTACACCCACTCCTGGTTAATTATCCAACTTTTAAAGCACCAAGCGCTGACATGGGATCTGAAGTTCTATAAAACTTCTGAATTCTTTGCCCTTACTAAATATCCAAAATGAAAAGGGCGTAGCTCGGAACTGGTACACCCAGCTAGTACAACTTCTTTCTTATTGCCGATAAATCCATTACCAGTGGGTAATCACGAATGACATACATCATAACGTACTCGTCTACTCTATGGTACTCGTAAATTTTAACATTGTGGTTTAATAGGTCCCTCGCAGGCGCGTGTTTGCTTTTCTTCCCGGTTTTGACGCAATGTTACACTAAATCGGCGATTATATGACGACTCGGGACTACTTTTGCGATGATATCGGCGACGGAACGATCCAAGGACCACAGAACACAGAAGAGGGTGTAACGACGGACGCGTGAACGAGGTCGGGTCGTTCCTTCCGCACACGCCCGACTGATTCTCCTCGATCGCGTTCGACGCGCTCGACGAGCATCCGACACCCTGTCGCAAAGCCGGCTGTTAAGCTTTTGAAGTCCTTCGAAAGACTGGCAAACCGATAAGAGAGGCTCCGCCACTTTGGCCGGGGCATGACGTAACCGGTTCACCCGGCAGGCGCAGAAGGATCGCGCCGGTACGTGCTGGTTTCCTCTGCCAAATGCTAACCGGTACGAGAGAGCTCGTCCCTACCGACCGCCGCGGTCAATACCTAAGAGATCGTTCCCATTTTTTAACCTAGCGGTAAATAGGGCTCGGTAAAGGAAGTCGATAAGAGTAACAAGGAAGGTATCCCAGGTTAATCTCTCCGATTTGATGTCTTTTATAACATGTTATAGTAGACTAAAAACTAAGCGACGTGTTTTTTTTTTATCTGCCATTAAACACTTTAAGGGGGTGAAACCACCATCCAAAGTAAGGCCTGAGGGGTGGCTCACCCCTTAATTTTTTTTTTTTAATTGAGAAAATTATATTTTTCATTTCTCGTTGAGGGAAAGCTTTTCCAGGTGGATTGGTTAAAAAATATTATTATTTATTGGTCTATTATATATTGGTTAATATTTATTATAGAATATAATTTTTTTAAGAAAGAAATTATAGTCGGTATTTAGTAAATTATTTATCTCGTGAACTGATTGTGAGAATAAAATAAAGTTTAAATATAATGTAAAATGAAGGTCGAGTAATGCCAGGCACCGCACCCGAGATTGGGCAACTTCAATTGTTAATAATATGATAAATTATCACCGCAGAAAAAAAAAACAAAGAGGAAGTTTCTATGTGAAATTTTGTCAATAATCAGTTCAGGTACTACTGCGAGTTCTTCGACACCCGATTTATGACCGTTGTCTAAGGTGAACTGTATTTTTTTTTTTAAAGACGCAATTTTGTCCATGTGTCATAGTGAAATTTGTTCATTATGTATCAATTTTACTTCGCAAGACATATTTATCAGAATTGCAAAAGCTTGCTTCGGGTCCGAAAGAAAAAATTCCGTTACTTATTATTCCGGACATTCTAGAGTATGTTTGTAATAAAACGACCTCGATTCTTATCACGTTATAATTGGTTTATTACCGTTATCGCAGCTTCTGTGTTATTATACATTATCAATGTTGTGTCTCCTTTCCTGAGATGAATTTTTGAATTGGCATTTTCATTCAGCAAACAGAGTATATAAATAGTACCGCGACTTTTATTACAAATAAACATGACAACATCATCCAGGATAACACACGGCATCAGAAACTAATATATCAATCTTCTTGATTCACTTTATTACTACTTGCAGTCTAAAATAGAAAATGTATACTACGTCCCTCATAAATTACAGTCCACAATATTAACTTCCCGTTGCATATTTACACGAAGTAACTTTATCATTCTTCAAGATACGGAAAGCAAATAGAAGTGCGAATGTTGACATCTTCATCAACTCGCTCGAAATGAATATCCACAATTCCTATGTATGTCCCAACCACTTGAAATAATAATATATCTGTAACAGCAATACTAAAACACTTGTGTCGATGACTATAAAAATTAACGTACTCTTTCTTGTTAAGAAATTAAGTTTACGTTATTGTAGTTTAAATGGATACCATACAAAATATCAGATAAATTCATCATATTACTCATTATATCAAATGCAATGAAACTTTACATGCAAATGCAGTTTTAGTCGAATCGCAATTTCACAGTCGGTGCTAGTGCTGATTTTTGTTTTGAAGAACAATAATAGTCGTAACTAGCGTCCTTCGTATTTCAGACATTTACGACCTCGATCGATCGAAAGTTGGCTTTCGAAATTCGCGAAAAAGGCTCTAACAAGACCTGTAAGTGGTTTGCGGTTCCGTATTGCATTGACATCAATTTGCATAAGTCTTTAAATTATCTCGCAGCCGCGTGACGTCTCATTATCTGGAGTTCGTTAAGGATCGACGCAATCGTGATAATTACGTGGAGACAATACGAATATGAGAAGCTGACAATATCGATATATTCATCGCTCATTATCATTTCACGGGCAGATAACATCGACATCATCAATTGACATCGTCGACGGTTTAATTGCCGATTGCTAACGTTTGCTTACATTACAAGTGTTTATAAAAACGTTATGCAATTAGTCAGAGCGATGTATTTTGAGCAGACCAAAACGCTTAATAATTTTCCTTCCGCTGCACGCAAGTACGAAAAGTTTTTAGAAACAAATGTCAGTCAATAAAGTATTTGATTTTGACATTGCGTCAATTTTTGAGAAACAAAAAAGAATCTATCTTGAAGAACATGAAGGTATCATCTGCACTAAAAAATAATGAAAGCTTAAAGAATAAATAAACAACTAAATGTACTCGTATTTCAGGATTACCTATAACCTGGACTACATTATTTTTTTTCTCTATATTTTATTCAACACTCAAAATTTCGGAAATTCACCCTGAAGACGGTTAAAATTGTAATCCCAGAAACAGTGAAGATAAAGGTAGCAAATTTTGTAAAAAAAAAAAAAAGTGTATAAAGTCAGAGTAACAAGTAATCGAAAGTTCAAGTATTCTAACGAGAAACAGAATTTTACTCTTGTCCTAATTTCAATTGTAACAACTAAATCTATAATCTATGATCCTTACTTTTAATTTTTAATGCAGCGATTTGAATGGCTACCAGTGTATTTTATTTTGTATTCGCTCAGAATTCTATAAGATTTATAACTAACACGTTCTTAATGGCAATGCAAAAAGTTTTGCGTAAGCACTCGGTAAATCGTCGTTAAAATTGCAACTTCCGGGCTTACGTATGTCTATTGCGAGTGAAAAGGTCGTTACATTTGAGAACAATAAGTTGGGCCCATCACTGCCAAATCACCTGTTCTATAATAACGCGCTTTAATGGAAGCTCGTTACACGCATGGTCGTTGTCCTTGGCAGAGATTACTCACCTTCGTCTATTCTAACCCAGATTACGCGAACGCATAAATAACATCCAAGAGCACGACGAAACGTTCTACTTGAATACTGATACCTTGTATTTACCCAATTAAATTACTTAACACCTGAATTAATTAATGAGTTTCCATCCCACAGCCTAAAAATCGGCAAAAATTCGCGACTGCCAAAAAATGAAAATCGTGCAAATCAGAGACTAACATATATCGATTAGTATAATGTACAGAGATAGCGATTCAATTTCAGTTTAAAAATACCTATAATTACCGATATGACCGTAGTTTCCCGCCATTATGCTAAATGTGGTTATCGGGTATGGATAACTTTGACTATTAGGTGTTACATTTTTTTTTGTATCAGTTAGGAGGTACTTATCGTCGACCTCGTTATTACATAACATTGTATAATAGAAATTGAATGTCGGCTTACGAAGATAAGTTAACATTTCTATAAAAAAAAAGGGGGGGGGAATACGAGTCATTGCATGTGCGTTCAATTAGTTCAGCAGAGTTGTACAAATGAGAAATCATTTGATATATCGGATTATAACGTAAATAAGTTCAGTTAGAATTATAACGCATTCATTTTTGCAATTGGACTCATTTATGAAACGATTCGATATAAAAAGTACAGAGGTTTCTATAACTTGAGTAGATTGCAGACATGTTGGATTCACTTGTGGGATCTAAGGAAGAAATGTAACGTGAAAACCGAGCTTAAATGGATTAGCAGTCTCTGGTACACCAAGAACATTCTTATGGCTTGTATTTTAAGACTCGTGTTAAAATGAATCTCATCGCGGTAAGCTTCTTATCACTCGCCCCCTTGTGCACGCGATTAAGCTCGGTAAGCATCAGGTGTCGCAGCTTTATGAAGGGTACAACTCCCTTCTAAAAACGTGGGAAGGAACCCTTTATAAAAGAAGGCGGTAAGGAATTTGTCAGAAATTACATCACGGGCATACAATAACGTTTCTATTTTTTTTACATCGATGGGCGTCAAAAATCAAATTTCCTTCCCTTTTCGAGTGATTTTTAAAATTTTAACATTAACAATTAACATTAACAACAATAACATTTAACATTCCAAGTGAAACCTATCTCGATATTCCTGCAAATGAATGTCGTACCGTTCATAATTCTTCGAAAATTACATTTCATCGTGCGTTGCAAAAGAACAAACAAGACCCCTTTTTACAAAGCTGGGCGATTCGTAACTTGTTAACTATCCGTATTAATTTTCTTAGAATACTTGTTGACTAGTCTTCGATTAAATGTCATCAATAAATAAATTCAGCCGAATGTCCAATGAAACGCAATTCGAAGAGGTGAAGTTAGAGAGCATCTTATAAAGATGCATCGAATTCATATTCTTCTTCGTGCAGAATGTTAGATAACAGATAAAAGATAAGTTTATTTATAATGCAACTAGAAAATATAATTTAATAATGCAATTTCGTATGAAAAGATACAAGGCGCGGGTATACCCAAAGTCCTACGTCACACATCTTACATTGGTAATGCGTTTGTCGTTGCACCCCATTTTTAACACAAACCATACCCTTTCTCAATCCGCTTTTTCGATTCGTTTTCGCGGTAGGGTAAATCACCGGGAAGGGTCTAAGCCTAAAAAAAGAATGTTTATCCGCAGATCAAGGAGCGCTTTGTCTACAATCGTCTTTATGGTATTTCCGTAATATTTGTCTTATTAATTCAAGATGAAAAGCCGCTATAGAAATATCTTTGGGTGTTTTGTACTTACATAAAGAATAAGAATTCCATACGGCAATATCTAATAAATTAAAAATAAAAAAAATACTTCTTAGCGAGCGCCAGGCGTTGGGTGACTATAGTCACCGTTAGTAGCTAAAGGGTTAAGACGAGTTATTTCTTTATGCGCTTTCTTCATGATGAATCATGGAATGTACTTTGAGGTCCTGTGTTCGAGAACTACGCAGCAACTTCACGCTATACCCGATTGAGTGCGACTGATTATGCGTGTGCACATGCGTAAGCAAAAATGCATCGTCTCGGATGGCGACTCGATCTCGGAATGCATACACAGTTTTTTGTTACGATGGAAAAAAACAAGTG